CAGAACAGTTTCTGTTTCAATTTCAGTCACCAGCTGCTACAAGGGTGATATGGTTTGGCTGTTTCCCCACCCAAATTCCATCTTGAATTGTAGCTCCCATAATTCCCAGGTGACATGGGAAGGACCCCTCATAGGAGGTAATTAAATCATAGGGACAGCCTTCCCCATGCCGTTCTTCTGGTAATGAATATGTCTCATGAGATCTGATGACTTTACAAAGAAAAGTTCCCTGCACAAGCTCTCTTTTTGCTTGCCACCAGGTAAGATGTGACTTTGCTCCTCTTTTGCCTTCTACCATTATTGTGTGGCCTCCCCAGAGATGTAGAACTATGAGTCTATTAAATCTCTTTCCTTTATAAATTACCCAGTCTCAATAATGTCTTTATTAGCAGCATGAGAATGGACTAATACAGGCAATTGATACCAGTAGAGTGGGGTGTTGCTGTAAAGATAGCTGAAAATGTGGAAGCAACTTTGGAACTGGGTAACAGACAGAGGTTAGAACATTTTGGAGGGCTCAGAAGAAGACAGAAAAATGTGGGAAAGTTTGGAACTTCCTAAAGACTTGTGGAATGGTTTTGACCAAAATGCTGATACGGACAATGAAGTCCCAATTGAGGTGGTCTCAGATGGAGATGAGGAACTTGTTGGAAACTGGAATAAAAGTGACTCTTGTTATGTTTTAGCAAAGAGACTGGTGGCATTTTGCCCCTGCCCTAGAGATCTGTGGAACTTTAAACTTGAGAAAGATGATTTAGGGTATCAGGCTGAAGAAATTACTAAGCAGCAAAGCATTCAAGAGGTGATTTGGGTCCTGTTAAAAGCATTCAGTTTTATGTATTCACAAAGATATGGTTTGGAATTGTAACTTATGTTTAAAATGGAAGCAGGGCATAAAAGTTTGGAAAACGTGCAGCCTAGTGGTGCAATAGAAAAGAAAACCCATTTTCTGGGAAGAAATTCAAGCCTGTTGTAGAAATTTGCATCAGTAATAAGGAGCCAAATGTTAATCACCAAGACAGTGGGGAAATATCTCTAGGGCATGTCAGAGACCTTGGTGACAGCCCCTCCCATCACAGACTCAGAGGCCTAGGAGGAAAAAAATGGTTTCCTGGGCTAGGTCCAGGGCCCCCTCGATCTCTACAGCCTAGGGACTTGGTGCTCTGTGTCCTAGACACTCCAACCATGGCTAAAGGGATCAAGGTACAGCTCGTGCTATGGCTTCAGAGGGTGCAAGCCCTAAGCTTTGCTTCCACGTCGTGTTGAGCCTGTCCATACACAGAAGTCAAGAACTGAGGTTTGGGAACCTTAATCTAGATTTCAAAGAATGTATGAAAATGCCTGGATGTCCAAGCAGAAGTTTGCTGCAGGGGTGGGAGCCCCACACAGAGTCCCCACTGGGACAATGCCTAGTAGAGCTGTGAGAAGAGGGCCACCATCCTCCAGACCTCAAAATGGCAGCCCCACTAACACTTGCACCATGCACCTGGGAAAGCCACTGACATTCATTGCAGGCCTCATGGGAGTGATAATTTTTTATTAAAAAACAAAAAACACAGTTTCCTTTCTCCAGTTTCCTTTCCTTTCCTTTTCACCCTCAGTTCCTTCCCTGATGGTGATCTGTCAGAGCACTTTCCTCTGCAATGGGTCATGCAGATGGGCTATGCTGATGGCATTTGCTAACTCATGCCAGAAGCTAGTAGGAAGGCTGTACCCTGCAAAGCCACAGGGATGGAGCTGCCCAAGACCATGGGAACCACCTCTTGCATTAGTGTGCCCTGGATGTGAAATATGGAGTCAAGGAGATTGTTTCAGAACTTTAAGATTTGATTGCCCTGCTGGATTTCGGACTTGCATGGAGGCCGTAGCCCCTCTGTTTTGGCCATTTTTTCCCGTTTGGAACAGATGTATTTACCCAATGCCTATACCCTCACTGTTTCTAGGAAGTAACTAACTTGCTTTTGATCTCACAGGCTTATAAGTGGAAGAGACTTGCCTTGTCTCAGATGAGACTTTGGACTGTGTGTGGATTTAGAGTTCATGCTGAAATGAGTTAAAACTTTGGGGGGCCATTGGGAAGGCACAATTGGTTTTGAAATGTGAGGACATGATATTTTGGAGGAGCCAGGAGTGGAATGATGTAATTTGGCTGTGTCCTCACCCAAATCTCATCTGGAACTGTAGCTCCCATAATTTCCATGTGTCATGCGTGAGACCCAGTGGGAGGTAATTGAATCATGGGGACGAGTTTTCCTATGCTGTTCTTGTGGTAGTGAATGAGCCTCATGAGACCTGATGGCTTTATAAAGGGGTGTTCCCCAAGCTCTCTTTTTGCCTGTTGCCATGTAAGACATGACTTGCTCCTCCATCACCTTCTGTGATTGTATGGCCTTCCCAGCCATGTGGAACTGTGAGTCAATTAAACCTCTTTCCTTTATAAGTTACCCAGTCTCAGGTATGTCTTTGATAGCAGTGTGAGAACAAACTAATACAAAGGGCTTCTTAATCTAAGTGGCCTTGGGGCAGCAGTGGTTCTCTTCAAATTGTATAGGTCGTGTGTGTGTGTGTGTGTGTGTGTGTGTGTGTGTGTGTGTAGGTATTTTTTCTGTGAAAAGATACAGTGTATGTTCATCACTTTTCCAAAGGGATCTTCTTTAAAAAAAAATCTATGGTGACATCACTCATATTTGAGCATCCTATAGGTGTGAGGCTCTCTGCTAGGTATTTTTTATGCATCACTGCATTTCATTCTTACAATGGAAGCAGGAAGTAGGTGCTGTTATTATTCCGACTCTACACATGCTAAAAGTGAGACATAGAGAAGTTAAGTAACCTGCAGGTAACTGAAAATTTTTAAGTTTTTTTCTTTACACACGTCCTACCCCCATTTTTGAGCTGAAATTCACATAATAAAACATTAACCATTTGAAATTGTATAATTCAGTGGCATTGAGTACATTCACAACACTGTGCAACCATCACTTCTATCTAGTTCTGAAACATTTTTCTCAGACCAAAGAAGATGCTGTACCCATTAAAGAGCAACTCCCATTTCCACCTCCTCCCAGTCCTGACAAACATTAATTTACTTTCTGTCTTTATGGATTTACCTATCCTGGATAACTCGTATGAGTAGAATCATACAATAGCTTGCCTTTTACGTCTGGCCTTTCTAATTTAGCATAATGCTTTGGAGGTGCATTCATGCTGCAGCATGTACCAAGAGTTTGTTTCTTTGTATTGCCAAGCAGTATTCTCTGTATAAATATCCCACATTTTGTTTATCCATACATCAGTTGATGGGCATTTGGTTTATTTCCACCTTTTGGCAATTGTGAACAATGTTGCCATGATGTGTGTGTAATGTACTTGTTTGAGTATCTGTTTTCTATTCTTGGATATATATGTAGGAATGGAACTGTTAACTCTATGTTTAACTTTTTTGAGGAATTGCCAAACTGTTTCCACCATGGCTGCAGCATTTTACATTTCTACCAGCAATGTACAAGAGTTCCAATTTCTCTACATCCTTGCCAACAGTTCCTTTCCATTTTTTTTCAATTATAGCTATCCTAGTTCGTGTGAAGAGGACTCTCATTGTATTTTTAATTTGCATTTCCCAAATGAATGCAGATGTTGAGCATCTATTCATGTATCTGTGGATCATCTTTATATCATCATTGGAGAAATGTGTGTGCAAGTCCTTTGCCCATTAAAATTCTTTTATTCAGTTGTAAGAATTCTTTATACATATGGACACTAAATCCTTATCAAATATATGATTTCCACACATTTTCTCATTTTCTCCCATTCTGTAGGATGCCTTCACTTTTGCACACATAAGTTTTCAATTTTTATGAAGTTCAGTGTTATTCTTGCATTGTGTAGGGGAGTTAGAGATAACCTCCAACCCCCTGTTTAGCTCTTATTAGGCTATTCAACTGAATATAGAAACCCAATTGACACCAGGCTGATTAACAAGAGAAAAAGAATACAGATTGTATTAGTTTTTCATGACATAGTGATCTTCACAAGGAGTGAAGTTGGGAGAAGTGTCCAAAGCAAGATCTTTTCATACTTTTTAGACAAAGAATAATCAACTTAAGAAGAAATGACAGGACAAAGAAAATCTGGCTAGGGTGGTAGAATTTTGCTGGAGGAGTCACTAGGAGATGTATTGGGGGGGGCTATAAAGCAGGTGGAGGATAAGGATTACTTCATTACGTATAAATTCAGGTCCACTGCAGCCTTCAATTCCAAGTTCCTGGTAATAAAGGCTATTTTGCTACCCTGGTATGGAGAGAGTACTGCTCCCAGAGGAATCTTAATTACTTGCTGCATGCAGGAAGAGACAGGTCAGCTCAGTCTTTCAGAAATTACAATTTCTCAATGTTTTCAACTTGAAATAATCCATGCACCCATCTGCTGTATTTTGATATGACATGTACTTCCCTCTATTGCTTGGTTGTACTCTTGCTCTTATATCCAAGAGTCCATTGCAAATCACAGGTCAAGATTGTTTTCTACATTTTAGTCTAAGAGTTTTATAGTTTTGCTCTCCCATTTAGGTCTTTGATCTATTTTGAGTTAATTTTGTATATGGTGTGAGGTGGAGGGTGGGGTCTGTCTCCACTCTTCCACTCTTTTGCCTGTGAATATCCACTTGTCCTAGTCCCTTCCATCAGCTCCAAAGTGAACTTTATTTGCAGGCTGATGTAGACTTTGAAGGCTCGGGAGTGAGGGAGGCAGGCAAGGAGACAGATATTTTTAGGCCAGTGATAGACACCTGTTTTGGAGTGATTAGTTGTTTTACTCTATTTTCTCTAACTTCCTTCCTGCATGGGCCAGTGCCTAGCACACTGGAGGCCCCCCACCCCCACCCACCGCAACTCCAGCAGCTGGCCATCGACTAAATATGTGCCTGTTTTGTCCCAAGAGCTGGCTGGTGCAAGCTGGGAGTTCAAGGGCTGAGTTATCAGACGTTCTTTTGTAATCCACAGGTGCAGCCAGCGTCATCGTCGGCCACCCTCTGGACACAGTCAAGGTACAGTATCCATGTTTCTCATTACCTCTTAAAAAGAGGCAGGGAGCTGATCTGCCTCTGGGACCATGCCTGCTGTTTCTGATCTCCCTTAGAGTCTTCTGCTCAGGGCAGGCTCTCTGTTGCCAGCCCAGGGGGCTGGAGTGCCAGGAGGCCTGGGTTGGACTCAGAAGACTCAGTGGTCCAGGTGGGACTTTAAACTAGATTGGAGATGGGAACCCATCATTACCTGATGAAACACATGGGTGTCAGGACTGTGGAGCTGTTGGGGCCTTCCTGGCATTGGGATTATTCAACACCCTTGTTCTGGGATGTTCCCTAGAAGGGGATGGGGCTGGTCTCAGATCATACAAGTTAAAAACTGAGGTGTGAGATGCTGCAAAGGAGCAATTTTTCACCCCATCCCCACTCCTGCACCTGTTCCCTGTGGTGAGTGGGACTTAGAGCTATGCTCTGGGAACAGAGCCATAAATTGTGCCTCCTCACTGCTGACTGGCTTCCAGATCTTTCTAAAGCTCTGCCTGGATTGTGCACAGACAGGAGCCTCACAGGCCCTTTCAAATGGCTGCTGCAATGTCTGTTCTCCCCATCTTGCTCCCTGTATGAAAATGGACCCTCTCCTAGGTCAGGGCTCATGCTCACTCTCTTCTTGATGGGAAGATCAGTCTACCTGTTTTAAATATTTGAAGAAACGCTTTAAGTAGTAAAGGGGGGTGTTTAGGGTCCCCAGGGGATGTCCCAACGCAGGGGGATGGCAGGCAGGACCCAGTGCTGGGAGATGGGCCCACAAAGTAGTGAGTGAAGCAGACTTAGTCTACCCTCCTGCAATGGTATAATCTTCCCATTTTATACAGGAGAGAGTAAGGTGCAGAGTTCAGAAACCTGCCCCAGACCTTAGAGCTGGGCATTGTGGTGCTGGACTCAAAGCTCCAAAGTGAACTTTACTTGCAGGCTTACCTAGGCTTTGAGGACTCAGAAGTGAGGGAGGCAGACAAGGAGACAGATACTTTTAGGGCCAGTGATAGACAATAATTAGAGAACACAACAGATACACGAAGCATTTATGGACAGTGGTGGGTATTAGGGGGACAATAACACAAGGTGATGGCAGAAACAGTGATGAGGAGCTTCTCTGTTTTGAAATCATGGATGGCCTCTCTGCCAGGAAGGCAGCTATGTTGAGACTCAAATGACACAAAGAGCCAGACACGCAGAACTGGTGTCAGAGTGCTGCTCACAGAGGAACGAGCCAGTGCCAGGGCCCAAGGGTAGGAACAGGCTGCAATATACATTCTCCAGGAAAACAAAGGTGTCCAGTGTGTGTGTGGTGCACATAGTGAGCTGAGCAAGCGGGGTGGTGCAGGTGCTGGGAGAAGCCCAGGGAGAATGGGATTTCAGAGTGGGCTGGGGACCTTGCTGCCTGCTTCCTGCCAGCCCTGCATACCCAGGCCCTTGGTCTTACAGCCCACCAAGGAGGGCTGTGCAGCAAGTTCATGTCAGAAGTGGACTTACCAGCATCTCAAGGCTGAGCCATTGCTGCCCAGGGGTAGGGCCCACGTCTACCACTCCGCAGAGCTGTCCAGAACCAAGCCAGGTCCTCAGAAACCTTCCCACCCCTGAGGTAGCTGCTCACTGAGCCCTCTTTACCCTCCATGAGAGTTGGCTGATTACCTTGCCCAGGCCTGGCTTCCCTAGCCTGTAGCCTCTGACTCTCCCCTGTTCAGAGCGCAGCTCGGTACAGAGCTGGGCACAGCCCCCCTGGGTGAGCACCTGCTGAATGAGTTGCCATCCCAGACCTCAGCCAAGTTCAAGGTGCCTGCTGCATTCATCTTCAGGACCGGGCCTTGGGGAGACTTGGAAGACTCAGATGTACTACCTAATGTCTCCACGAGAGTGCTGATTGTTTCTGGCATTTCTCACCTCCCAAACTGACCTCTCATTCCCAGACTGTCTTTCCCAGGGCTCATTCAACAAACTAATCCACAACAATGGATCAGTGGGGAGGCAGCATGGCTGAGCCAGAAAGCATGGGCTTTGGAACCACACAGGCTCTAGGCGTGAATCCTGTTTTTGCCATTTCCTGCTTGCATAGCCTTCTGTTAAACAGGATATGAATCCTTGCCTTACAGGGTCAGTATAAGATGATAAGCATTGTTTTTGGTACCCAGCTGGCATTCAAAATTGGTAGCTGCTATTTTTTTTTTTGAGACAGAGTCTCACACTGTCCCCCAGACTGTAGTATAGTGGCGTGATCTCAGCTCACTGCAATCTCTGCCACCTGGGTTCAAGCAATTCTCCTGCCTCAGCCTCCCTAGTAGCTGGGGCTACAGGTATGCACCACCATGTCCAGCTAATTTTTTTGTATTTTTAATAGAGATGAGGTTTCACCATGTTGGCCAGGATGGTCTCGATCTCCTGACCTCATGATCTGCCCGCCTTGGCCACCCAAAGTGCTGGGATTATAGGCATGAGCCACCGCTCCCAGCCAATAGCTGCTATTTTAATTAACATTATTCTATATATATTAAGTTTTGCTCAGTTACCACATCATGAGACAATGTCTAGCAAGATTTTAACCAAAATTGGAGAATGTGTTTCCAATTATCTGATTTAAATGATATTTATACATTTCTCTTTGGGGGTCAATGGGATACCTCAAACATGGGCAAGCGTTCTCCGAGTGGCGTGCTCAGTCACTGATCTTGGAACTGTCGGCCACAGGCCTAGCATCTTGGCAAGGAAAAGGGCTGTTGTTTCTCTAGAACCCAGGCTGACTTCATATCAGTGAGTTGGTAACAAATCACTGTGAGGAGTGAGAGATTTAACAGTAAAAAATTGAGAGTATGGATTAGTTTCCTTGGGCTGATTTAACAAATATCCACAAACTGGGTGGCTAAAAACAATAGAAATGTATTTCCTCACAGGTCAGGGAGCAGGAAGTCCAAAACTGAGGGGTTGGTGCCTTCTGGAGGCTCTGAGGGAGGACCTGCCACATGGTCCTGTGCCAGCTTCCAGTGCCTGCCGCAGTGCTTGGCATTCCTTGGATAGTGGCTCCTTAACTCCAGGCCCTGCCTGTCTTCACAAGGCCTCCCCTCTGAGTCTCTGTGTGTTAAATCTCCCTGTCCTTCCTAAGGACACTAGTCATTGGGTTTAGGGCAGTTTATGGGAGTGGAGCTCCCTGGCCACAGTCACCTGAAAAGTCTGGGCTCTCTCCCTTCTCCACACTCTGCCCTGAAGCTCAGGAGGGAAGCCCTCCTGAGACATGGATTCCAGTCTTCGTTTGGCCTGAGTGTCCCTGTTGCACTCCAGAACACCCTCTTCCTTCCTTCTGGCTGATGTTTTCTCTATGGACCCTGTCCACCAAGAAAGGGCCAGGCAAGTCTGAATAACTGGAAATCCAGTCCTGGCCTTATCACCTACTCTCCTGTGACTGGGGCAGAGAGCTTAACCTTCCTGAGCCTTAGTTTCCTTGTCTGTAAAGTGGGCAAGTAGCACCTCCCTGGTGGGGCTGCCGTGAAGATCGTTCATAGTGCCATTGCATTGAGGATATAGCAATGAGCGAGATGCTGCTGCTATCATGAATAGACAAGCTGGGCTGCGGGAGGCAGACGGTGACTTGCCTGGAGTCCCAGGACTCCCCTGTCGAAGAACCCAGCTACTGACTCAGGTGAAAGGCTTCTTCCTGTGCCCCTGGCTGCCTGGTCTTAGGTTGAGGAGGCAGGTCTGCTGCATATGTCTGATGCAGCATGGCTAAGTTTTCTAGTCAGGGCTTGGCTGCCTGTAAACCAGGGGTCCCCAGCCCCTGTACCATGGACCAGTCCATTGCCTGTTAGGAACTAGGCCATGCAGCAGGAGGTAAGCAATGAGCAAGCGAGCATTCCTGCCTGAGCTCTGCCTCCTGTCACATCAGTGGCAGCATTCGATTCTCGTAGGAGCACAAACCCTATTATGAACTGTGCATGCTAGGGATCTAGGTTGCCTGCTCTTTATGAGAATCTAATGCCTGATGATCTGAGATGGAACAGTTTCATCTTGAAACCATCACCCCACCCTGGACCATGGAAAAATTGTCTTCCACAAAACTGGTCCCTGGTACCAAAAAGGTTGGGGACCACTCTTACAGACCATGGGATCTGGACTGCAATGGACAGGCTTTGTGTGGGGGGATGTCTGCCTCCTTCTCATGAACATCCCATTGAGGCTTCTCGTATTGCTCCATCATGCTCCCCACCACTCCAGGCTGCCCCCTCACTGCCCACTCCAGTTTGGGGCATGCATGTTGGCCCAGGACAGCTAGGGCATGGCCTGCTCTGCCAGGTCAGGGCCAGCGGGGCAGTGGCTCAGCTCCAAGCACTGAGGCTCCAGCTACCTCACCTCCTGGCACTGAACACTCATCCTCTTCTCCTTGGGTTTTCACCTCTGGGGTCCTGAGAGCTTCCAATGGGAGGGAAACCATGAACTGGAGGAATATGAGCTCATAGCACCCCTGACATGAAGCTCATAGTTTTGGGCTAAATATTGCCTGCAGTGCCATGATCTTCAAGCTGTAGCCACTTCATGCACAGAACCCAGGGCTCCCATTCTCTATAAGGACCAAAGAAAGTGCCAGAGAACTGAGAAAATACTATGTAAGAAGAAAAGTATAGAATCAAAATTAATGCTGCACTAAATGTTTACAAAATATAACCACATGTTAAATAGTCAAATGGAACTCAACTTTCATGGAGGTCTATGTGGATGATATTAATATGCAATGTGCATTAAATATGTACAATTATACTAATTTTATCTTGCTTGATACAATATGAGCAGGTTTACAAAAGTGAAAGAGTCCAATATCTAAGCAAGTCTTAAAATGGCCTTGATTCTACATAACCAGGAGAGGCAAGAAAGATAATGGCAAACCCATCAATTCTCTAGGTCCAAAATGAGGACTTCTGGGTACCTCAAATATGTAGATATTTTCCCTAATAACTAAAAACACTGAAGTTGGGCTAGGGAACCAAGCTCTCTTCTCTCTTGCCTTTCATAGGTATTCATTGTGCACCTATTATATACCTAACCCTATGTTTAGGTCAGAGAACTCAACTCTCAGGGAAGTCACACCTAGTCAAGAGCTTGGGCGGGACTTCTTTTTGTCTCAGTAGGCTAGAGGTTGGTGGGAATAGCAGCCTCTGGGGTCCTGCAAAGTGAAAGGCCTGGGGATGAGCCGAAGGAGGGAGCCAGGTTCCTGGGGAAACTGTGTGAGACAGTGTGGTTGATTGAATAATGGTCCCTAGACATGCCCATGTCCTCATCTCTGGAACCTGTGAATGTCATCTCATATGGCAAAAGAAAACTTTGCAGGTATGCTTAAGTTAAGGATCTCGAGATGGGAGGATGATCCTGGATTATCAGGGAGGCTCTTAAATGTAATTACAAGTGTCCTTATGACAGGGAGGTGGAGGGAGATTTCGATTTCTTCCTATAAAAGAGGAAGAAAACAACGTGATGACAACAGAAGGCGGGAGAGAAGAGGAGCTGTGATGCTGGGACATGGCTCCAGGAAAGAGGGTGAACTCCAAAAGCTGGGGGAGACAAGGAAACAGATTTTCCCTGAGAGCCTCCCGAGAGAATGCTGCCCTGCCAGCACCCTGGTCTTAGCCCACTGAGATCATTTCAGATTTCTGGTCTTAGAACTGTGAGAAAATGCATTCATGCTGCTTTAAACCATGGAGTTTGTGGTAATTTGTTACAGTAGCAACAGGAAACTAAAGCAAGGAGTCAGCTGTGTTCATCTGTAAGATGGGACCAGTTCTTATGTCTTAGAGCACCTGTGCGATTTAGTGGGATCAGTTTTATATGATCAGTATGCAGTTGGTGCACACTAAATGTCATCTCCTGCTGTCACTGGGTCCCTAGAGACTTGGACTTTGCTGCTGGCCTCAGTTCCAGCTTCCCTGAGTGCTCAGCATGCCTGACAGACCTTTGGCTCCATGGCTTTGAAATTATTCTGTGATCCAGGTTTGGCTCTTGGGTTGAGTTCCTTCATGTATTATTGGCTTGAGTGACTCAACCACTCAATTTTCTTAGCGGCAACTTGACTACTTGTTGCAGGGGGTGGGGTGGCAGTCAACCATTCTGTGGATTCACTTTCCAGAGAGAGCCCTGGGAGAGTGTTGGACCTCATGCCAGCCTTACATGGGGCACAGAGAGAGACCTGCAGCCCTTCACCACCTCCTAAGTTACCACCTGGCACAAGTCATTGTCCTAGTTGTGAACATCCCACTCCAAGGTAGGCCTTTGTGGTTCTGCTTAACAAGAAGACATCGAAGGCCAGGTTCTCATCTCACTGCATCTTCCAGGGAGTCTCCACCACTCAATTTAAAACTACCTTTTCCTTCTCATCACCCAGCTCTTCTTATCCTTGGTTTTCTTCCATAGCACTTGTCTTCATCTAAAATACGTATTTACTTGGGAATTATTTTTTATTGACCATCTTTTCTGACTCCACCAGGTTGTAAGTTCCATGAGGGCAGAGACTCTGGTTTCTTTATTGCCAAATTCCCTGAGATTGGAATTGTGCCTCCAATAAAATAGGCCCCGAACAAATACTGGTTGAGCGAGTCGATAAACACTTCTCTGGTTATGAAAGTAAAACTTATGAGCAGGGTGATAATATTTCCTATATTTTTCCTTTGGCTACATATGTTTATAAAACTATTTAAATGGGTGCTTCTCAAACTCTTGGCCATGCTATTAGCCATGATCATGAACTCAGGGGAGGAGCAGGGTGACAGCGAAGGTGGGTCCAATGAGGCTTCAGCCTTACATGTGATGCTAATTTTGATGTCGTTGAGAGAATGTATTTCCCTATGAGTTGTGTACTTTACATTACTTTCAAACTATGTAAGCTAAAAATAATGAAAGTAACATCTGCTATTGCAGGAAAGTTGGAAAATGCAGAAAAGCTCCACATCACCTGTGGTGTTCACCTCTGAGATCACCATTTTAACTCTACGTACTCTTCCCAGGCCTCTTCCACTTGTCTCCAGAGCTGAGCTCAGGCAGTTTGTGTGAGGAGCTAGCCTGATTTTCTGGGTCCCTCACTGCATACTGGAGTCTGTGGGGACGGGCCAGTATCTCCTCCTTGGTCATCTCACAGCTCCTTCATACACAGGCATGGCATGCTATGCATGATGACAAAGTGTTTTGATGGAAAATTATAGGCTGTGCATCTTAAAAGAAGTGGAATCCTCTGAGGCAGGGGTACTCTAGACACTTAGGTGGGCTTACTCAGACCCTCTGCACCTGTCAGCTGCTGCCCCTGGTCACCAAAGCCAGCCTCCATCAGAGGCCACCACACGTTAGCCATGCAGTCCTTGTTCAGTCACTGCAAAGGGGCCACTGTGCTGGGGCTGTGCCCCGCCCTGGAGATGAGAGGAAAGTAAAACAGGCGTTCCGACCCTAGCTGGGCGGTCCAACATAAACCCTACATAATCAAATACATAGGACCACGGCGGCATAGCCACTCAGTCTTAAAAGACGAGCAGGAGCTGGAGGAAGAGCCTTCCAGAAGTTGGGACCAGAAGTGACAGTGGGCTGGAGGCAGGAAAGAATTGCAGCTCCAGGGCCTGGGGACATGCAGCTTATGCAGGACCTGGGGGAGGAGATGGCACGTGGGGTGAGAGGCAGGTGGCTCCCAGGCTCAGGGAGAGTGGGGAATGTCTCCTACATTTGATGGGAGGCCACTGGAGTCTTCATTGACCTTGAAAAAGATCAGTCTGCCTGTTGCATAGAGAGAAATGGAGGAAGTGACAGAGAAGCAGGAGGCCAGGGAGGGCTTCAGGCCAGGGGGTGGTATTTCTGGGGGCAAGAAGAGCAGTTCTCCTCCAAAGCTATTTTGCAGGGTGGAGTGACAGACAGCAGATAGAGTTCCAGTTTAGCTTTGTGTACTCAAGAGGTGGGGATCGTACAATGATTCGGCACAACTAGCTGGCCTTTGCCATTCTCTCAGCAAAGTGGGCTTCTCTGCATTGAGCGAGTCTGAAAGGGACATTAGAGGGAGGCAGTGCAAGGTAGGGATGGAGCACCAGCCTGGCCAGAACTGAAACCCAGACCCTTTGCTGGCAGGCTTCACTATGAGCAGGGCCTTTCCCTCTGGGCATCTTTGGAGCAGTGGGGCTATGAATGACCTCCGAGCTGACATATGCCCTTTCCTCTCTCCACAGACTCGCCTGCAGGCCGGCGTCGGCTACAGGAATACCCTCAGCTGCATCCGCACAGTGTACAGGAGGGAGAGCGTAAGTGCCCCTTGGGTGGGTGGAGTGATGCCTGCTTGGGCCCCCCCAGGATGGGATCAGGGCCACAGCCCCACACCTGCATGCAGGCGGGGGCCTCCCATTCTGATCACATTCGGCTTGATTTTGCCTGCTTCATCTCACACCACACCTCGAATATTACGTGTTACCTAAACTCACCCCTGCCACCTACCGCAGCATAACTGAGGAAAGACTCCGGTGTTGTGTAACCTCTATGGAGAAATCCTGAAGAATTTGGAGCCTCAGTGTGGAAAATTCCAGCAAAAATAAGGCGATCGCTCAGTTTTTCACAAAGGAACGACTGACTGGTAAACTGTGTGCTGACAGACCTCCCTTTATTGGGCCTGGTGGGAGCCAGGCATGTCTGAGCCTAGACACCAGAGTTTACCTGCGCCCAGGTCGCTTGAGAGCATGTGACCCAAGATGTTCCTTTTCCAAAGGGAAAACTGAATGATACTTTGTAGAAAATGCATCAGGTTCCCTTCTTGAGAATCAGTATGTGCTTCAGGAATGACTTTCTGAGGTCCCTCTTAGTGAAATTTAGAATAAATTTTTGAATTTCGAATGGAATGACCTGATTTAAAGAAACTGTCAGGTGGAACCCTGTCACAGCCCTCAGACTTTTCCCTGAGTCCCTGGAAATGTGGCCCCACTGTAGCCATTGTCTCCACTGGGCTCCATTCTAACAAATGCCCTGGGGCTCAGAAGCCTCTTGCAAGTACCTAGAGTTTTCCCACCGGTGAAGGGCATCTTGTGTCAGGGTGTTGCTGTAACTCTCTTGATCAGCTGCTTTAAAATTGGGGCAAGCACTGTGAGGCTGGCACTTGGTGTTCCTGGGTAATGCTGTGGGATTCCATAGTCCCCTGAAAGCGGCTGTTGATTCTCTTTTTGGCACATGTTCCCGGCAGTGTCTGCCAGCTTGCGTCCCAGCTCCGGGGTTTTGGTGGGGATTGCAATGGTTTCTCTGAGACATAGTGGCTCATGGCTAAGCCACTTCCAAAGTAATCTGAAGGGTCTTGTGATGGAAGAAGAACACGAAGCAGGATGTGCTCACATGTGTGTGTGCATACATGTGTGTATATATGCACATGTATGTGCATGTGCAGGTGTGTGTGAGGCATCCTGCCTCTGGCAGTGCGTGCAGTGAGGACTAGCGTTTTTGTGCACAGCCTGGAGTCTGCACAATGGCTTCCCAGTACTTTCTCATGTTTGGCACGCATGTGTTGCCCTAACTCCTCCAGGGGCCTGTGGAATTTTCCTGTTTTCCTTGGCACATCTGTGGTGTTCATCAAGAATGCCATGTGGAAGGGAAGTGCCACGAGCCTGCAGCACCCCCTCCTCAGCCTCCTGCAGCCTGTGTGTGCATCCTGTGTCCTTATGTGGCCCCTCCAGCCACTGCTATCAGGAGACACCCATGCTCATGGGCACCCATCAACAGGCTGGCGCAGGCTCCCCTCAGGGGTCTGGGGAACCTGTCTTACACCACAGAATTAGCAGACTGCCTGTGTTGTAACTGCCTGTCAATTTGTCTGTTCCACATCCCATTTTCTCCAGACTATAAATTCAGTGAGGGTGGAGGCCATTTCTTTTTTATGGTTGCTCCCCAGGGCCTGGCCCCTGGCGAGTGCCTAGAGAATGTTTTTGTTGTGGCAAATGAGGAGAGGATGCATGGTGCTTGGCCAGCCCACTGCCCCTAAGGGCTCCTCAGACTCCCCCTCGGCCACAGCCTGACTTCTTTCCAGCCCAAGATCACTGCCCCTCCCGCCGCATGCATGCCATGTGTGGGTTCCAGGCCGGGACACCACCCACAGGAAACAAAGCAGCCTGCAGAAGCCGGGCTGTCCTCAGGGCAAGAATGCCTGCCCCCAAGCGGCCCCCCACCCCCTGCCAACTGTCGCATCAGCACCTCTTCCCGTCTCTTCACTGCTACGTGGGCAGATGTGTCCTGTGTTGTCCCCTGCAGGCTCTGCGATGGCAGCCTCCAGTCCTCACGCCTCTTCCTACTGGGTTTCTCTGCAGGTGTTCGGCTTCTTCAAGGGCATGTCCTTCCCGCTTGCCAGCATTGCTGTCTACAACTCTGTGGTATTTGGGGTCTTCAGTAACACGCAGCGGTTCCTCAGCCAGCACCGCTGCCGGGAGCCCGAGGCCAGTCCTCCCCGCACACTGTCGGACCTGCTTCTGGCCAGCATGGTGGCCGGCGTGGTCTCTGTCGGGCTGGGCGGGCCCGTGGACCTCATCAAGATCCGGCTGCAGATGCAGACACAACCATTTCCTGACGGTAAGCAGCCAGGGGAACAGAGGCTGGTGTCTGGGACCTGTGGCTCTTTCCTGGTTTGTGGCGTCTGGGACAGGCGTGGTTGTTAAAATCCTTTTATTGAGCAAGTCATCTACCTTGTCATGTAGTAGTCCCTAATTACAGGCATACCTCGGAGAGGTGGGTTCAGTTCCAGACCACTACATTAAAACAAATATCACAATAAAAGTCATATGAACATTTTGGTTTTCCAATGCATTTAAAGTTATGTTTAGGCTATACTATAGTCAAAGTGTGCAATGGCATTATGCTTAAAAATATACATACCTTAATCTAAAAATACTTCAGTGCTAAAAATTACTGACAATTATCTGCGTGTTCAGCGAGTCGTAATCTTTCTGCTGGTAGAGGGTCTTGCCTCCATGTTGACGGCTGCTGACTGTCCAGAGTTGTGGTTGCTAAAGGTTGGGGTGGGCTATGGCAATTTCTTAAAAGAAGACAACTATGAAGTTTGCCACATCCATTGACTCTTCCTTTCACAAAAGATTTCTCTGTAACATGAGATGCTGTTTGATGGCATTTTGCCCATAGTAGAAATTCTTTCAAAATTGGAGTCAATCCTCTCAAACCCTGCTGCTTCTTTATCAGCTAAGTTTACGGAATATCCTAAATCCTTTGTTGTCATTTTAACAATGCTCACAGAATCTTTACCACGAGTAGATTCTGTCTCAATAATGACTTTCTTTTTCATCCAAGGTGTGCCTTTATTACTATTTAATCTGAAGGGGTAATTGTCATTGATTAAGTATTTGATATGTGTCAGGTACTCGCTGGGACCTTTGCACATGTTCTCACAATTCATCTTGTAACAATTCTGTGAGGCAGGTGTTATCTCCATTTGACAGATGAGAAAACAGCCTCCCAGAGGTGAAGATACTTACTCAAGAACACACGACTAGCAGCTGGTGAGTGAGAGCCAGCTCTGTGATTTGCAGTACCCAGTGCAAAATGCTAGGGCCCCTTGTTCAAAATTTATGCCATATTTTACAATGGCCACAGCAACTCTTCATCTGTTTAAATATTATCATGAGATTGCATCATTCAGCCCCATCTTAAGCCTCTACTTCTCATTTGAGTTCTCTTGCTTTTTCCACCACATCTGCAGTTTCTTCCTCCATTGAAGTCTTGAAGCCCTCAAAATCATCTGTGAGGGTTGGAGTCAACTTCTTCCAAACTCCAGTCACATTGCTATTTTGACCTCCTCCCGTGAACCCCAAATGCTCTTAAGAGCATCTAGAATGGTGAGTCCTTTCCAGAAGGCTTTTAAATTTACTTGGTTCAAATACATCAGAAAAATCACTATCTATGGCAACTATAGCCTTAAGAAATATATTTCTTAAATAATAAGACTTGGAAGTCAAAATCCCTCCTTGATCCATGGGCTGCGGCATGGATGCTGTGTTAGCAGGCCTGGAAACAACATTCACCTCCTTGTGCTTCTCCACCAGGACACTTGGGTGATCAAGTACATTGTCAATGAGTGTAATATTTTGAAAGGAATCTTCTTTTCTGAGCAGTAGGTCTCAACAGCGGGCCTAAAATACTCAGGAAACCGTGCTGTACACGGATGTGTTGTCATCCAGGCTTCGTCATTCCTTTTCTAGACCATGCAGAGCAGATTGATCATCATTCTTAAAGGCCCTAGGATTTTCATAATGGTAAGTGAGCATTGGCTTCAACTTAAAGTCGCCAGCTAAATTAGTCCCCAGCAAGAGAGTCCGCCTGGCCTTTGAAGATTTGAAACCAGGCATTGATGCCTCCTCTCTAGCTATGAAAGTCTCGAAGTCATCTTTTTCCAATAGGAGTCTGTTTGTCTACATTGAAAACCTGTTGTTGAGTATAGTCACCTTTATTAATTCTCTTGGCTAGATCTCCTGGTTAACTTGCGGCAGTGTCTGCATCAGCACTTACTTGCTGCTTCAGCTAGTACTTTTGTGTTGTGGAGATGGCTTCTCTCCTTAAGCCTCATGAACCAACCCCTGCCAGCTTCTAACTTTTCTTCTGCAGCTTTCTTACTTCTCTGCACCTTCAGAGAATTGAGGAGAGTTAGGCCCTTGCTCTGGAATAGGCTTTGGCTTACGGGAAATTGGGACTGACTTGTTCTATCGTGACTACACAAACCTTCTTCGTAACAGTAATAAGGATATTTCACTATCTGACTATTTGTGTGTTCATTGGAGTGGTGATTTTAATTTTCTTCGAGCATTTTTCCTTTGCATTCACAACTGGGCTAACTGTGACGTAAAAGAGGCCTGGCTTTTGGCCTGTCGCAGCTTTCAACGTGCCTTCCTCACTAAGCTTAATGTTTTCTAGTCTTTGATTTAAAGAGAGACACCTGTGAGTCTTCCTTTTGCTTGAACACTTAGAAGCCGTTGTAGGGTTATGAACTGGCCTAATGTCAATATCGTTGTCTCAGGGACCAGGGCAGCCTGAGGAGAGGGAGAGAGAGAGGGAATGGCTGGCTTGTCAGTGGAGCAGTCAGAACGCCCATGGTTAAGCTGACTCTCTTATATGGGCGCAGCTTGTTGTGCCCCAAAACAATGACGTTAGTAACATCAAAGATCACACATCATCATAACAGATATAATGATTACGACAAAGTTGAAAATATTGTGAGAATTACCGAAACGTGACACAGAGATACAAAGTGAGCACATGCTCTTAGAGAAATGGTGCCGGTAGCCTTGCGGGACTCAAGGTGACCACAAAGCTCCAATTTGTAAAAAATGAAATATCTGTGAAGTGAAATGAAGTACAATGAAGCAATGCGTGCTTTTATTACTATTTAATCTGAAGCAGTAACTGTCATTGATTAAGTATTTGATATGTGTCAGGTACTCGCTGGGACCTTTGCATATGTTCTCACAATTCATCTTGTAACAATTCTGTGAGGCAGGTGCTGTTATCTCCATTTTACAGATGAGAAAACAGCCTCAGAGGTTAAGATACTTACTCAAGAACACACGACTAGCAACTGGTGAGTGAAACCCAGTTCTGTGATTTGCAGAACCCAGTGCAAAATGCTAGAGCCCATTATTCAAAAATTATGCCGTATTTTACAATGGCAACAACAAAGCATTAAGCTAAACATGGTGCCTCTGTGAACACACTGGTCTCATCCCCATGAAGCTAGCCCCAGCTGAGTTGGGACTCATCCAAAAGCTCAAAGTCCTGACCTCACATGGCCCTCACATGTCCCACACGCCAGGAAGTGCAGCAGGTGAGGCCTTGCTCCTGAGGACCCCTCTCCTGGCTTTACCCGGCCCTTGCCTGCCCTTCAGCCCTTGCCTTTCCCATTAGAGCTTCACTTCTTGGTGTGTGATGTAGCCATCTCTGCACCATGAGCCACATCTTCCATTCCTCCTCTCTGGGAAAGAGTTTTCTGCATCTTTCCTGGTAGTGGTTTTGCCAAAGGAGGGTGGAAAGAGCAGGAAGGCATGTGCTGTGCAGAGCAGAGATAGTGCTGGCTCTGGAAGAAGGATAGGCTTGGGGTGGTAGGAGACTTTTTCAGTACCTTGAGGTACTTTGATTCTCAGCTCTACTCAGTTCAGTGTCTCCACAGGTTAGGTACTGCTCCTTCCTGAGCCTCACACTCCTTTTCTGTGTAATGGAAGGGCTGGACCCAGAGTCCTTTCCTGTCACCTCAGATATCTGACGGGGCTGACAGTCTCCAGCTTGATTCTTGGCCCTTCTGGATAAGACCCTCTCCCTGGCAGCCTTCTGAGTAGCCCCTGTGTGACCCCTCTGCCCAAGGAGGTTGGGGTTCAACCTGTATCACAGCCAGAGCCCCAGCAGTTCACTCAGGAGCATCCCAGCCTAGCACCCCCTGCCCCAGCCCTAGAGCTGCCCAGGACAGGGTCTGCACATGCGGCAAGAATGGTGCTGCTGCTCGTTGCTGGGGTGCATGGAGGGGCTGAGGCTTGGCTGCCCCACGGCTGTGTGTCACATGCCCCAAGGCCCATGGTTACTACAACACATGGGAGATGCAGGAAAATAAATGGGGCCATCAGGGAGACACGGGGCAGGAGATCTCGACCTTCACCTTCCGCATATCGAGTCGTGTCTTGGTATAATTTAATTTGATCCAAAGGTGGCACCTCTGAGGAGTGTTTGAACTTTGCTGATCTGTCCCAGCCCAGAGGCCTAAGCAAAGATGTAGAGGAATAAAGGTGGCTGTGAGTAGGCTGAAAACCCAGGCATCTGGGCCCCTGTGCTGGCTGTTTGCTCTATCCTGACTACTTCAGAAAAGCTTGCTTTAGTCTCAGGGGGAAAGGAAACCTTCATACATCTTAAAATTGTTTGGGGTTCAGTTGTTGGAAGAGGCTCAGCAATGAGGCTCCTTGGCTGCTGGGAGCAGCCCCACCTCCTTCACCACCTGGCGCCTTGTCCCTGGAAGGGGAAGAAATGGAAGTAGGTTTGCATCTATCTGGTTGGAAGTATCTGTTGGAGGCTCTCAGCCAGCCAGGACACCAAGGGAGGTGTTTCCCAGGAAATAGTTCCCTTATGAAGACCTGGGACATTTGAAGGCAAATTAATTGGTGTGGTTTCTTGACAGCATCTTGTTCTATCCTCTGTCCTGCCCACCTTCACCCCCAGCTTGCCCTGTAAGCATGCTAGAATGGTGTCATGCCAGGCCCTGAGTGATAGAGGTCCAGAGGCCAGGCTAGAAGCATTTGGAGACTGGAGGAAGAATGAGAGGCAGCCAGGGGAGTGGCTGGACCCAAGCATGGCCTCCAAGCAGGGTGTGCAGCTCTTGCTGGTGTTAGGGAGCTGAGCAGCCACCATTACCAGCTGCCAGTGTGACATGCTCACTGTGTGCCAGATGCCACCTGAGGTATTGTCCGCTCATCACCTTCTTTAATATCCACCATGACAGCATGAGGCAGATATGATTGCCATCTCTGTTCATTTGGCTGAAAAACGATAGTTATGTACCTGCCAGGTGCCAGGCACAGGGCTGTTTG